GGGTGCTGAGAACAGAGAGCAGACCCTCTCCTGCTCCAAGCTGACAGAGAGCCCTCAGCAAGCAAGATGCTCACTGAGATGCATCGAGTTGTAGCAAAGCCCACTTAAATCAATGCAATGTGAGCTGAGCTATCCCATCCCAAAATAAAAAAGACCTTTAATGCCCTTCCATAAACAGGGGGACATCAATCCTTGCAGCCTGGGTATGTCCTATTCTATTTTTTTTCCCTCTCCTTCAGCAAGGAAAACCATGCAGGATGCGACTGGCTACGTGGTTGCAGACCCTGCAAGCGCTGCATCCCACAACCCCTTGCAGTCTTCATTTTAGGGCAGAGATACACCCTTCCCCGATGTCCTCTGCAGGTGGAGGGGAGGCAGGTAACAAACCTTGAACTCCTGTAGAGGACCAGGCAAGAGCTTGGTGTGGAGGAGATGGAGCCCGTTTTAACTTACCCAGGTGGAGATGGCAGCAGTGGCAGCTGGGAGCAGGTGGTGGGGCTGGGCACTGTCCCCACTGTTTTATAGGGTGGCCCGGCCCCCCAGGGGAGCGAGTGCGTACCTTCCACCTGAAACTTCCCAACAACCAGCAGTTTTCTCCTGGAAAGCTCCCCTGGCTGATTAAGCAGTTCCCTCTTTCATCTGTCATGTTTTGCTTCCATTTAATACTGAGTAAGATTGAAATGATTTGGGCTACAGGCATTAATTACCTTCCTTCCTAGGGCCAAAGGACATTTTAGGTCTTTACGCCACCAGGCAGGAGAGTGTTTCAGCAGAATTTAGGGCAGGTGCATCTCCATCTTCCTCGCAGCACAACCAATTCAGCTCCCTGGTGCACCTGAGGTGAGACTGGGGACGTAAACTGAACATAGGGAGCATCCATTTGGAGTTAAATCCTGCAGTCTCATGGATGGCAGGAAAACTGAGGGGCTGCAGGAGTGAGGGTGCTGGATAGTACTGATGCAGACACAGGGATATGCGTTAGCCCAGCGCGGGCAAATCATTATGGTTCTGGATCCACTTAGAGCCCTTCCATTCCGCTCTTTGGATATGCTAGAAGGTCACAGCTCTGCTTCTTCATGATGGAGGGACATCATCAAGACATGGTTAATTACAGGCTGCGACACCGGGTTGCTATACTGGAAGCCTGTTCACTACTAAAAACAGCCCCAAACATCCCAACCTGCACTTAAACATGAATCACCTGCATGATGGAGAGAGGGAGTCACTGACATGGTCCCAAGCAGGGGGATGAGCCATTGGGCTCTAAGGGCAAGGAAAGTTTGAAAAAGGTTTTTCATTTCACGCCAGCAGAGCCCAGATGAAGGCACAAACATCTTCTGCCCTGGAATAAACCCTAGCAGTACTGGGACACATGTACTATGCATGTGTGGAGCTGTCAGCATCCTGTTAAAGATGTGCCTTGTGGGGTTTAGGGGGGTCATTTTAGTTCTTAGGATGACTTGGACATGGTTGATCACACTGAATGGTCCCTAGTGACTCCTCCCTGCCCTGCCTGCCAGGGTAAAAAAGCCTTTCTAAGGTTCTGGGATCAAACTCAGCTTGTTTTTAACATCATTCTGGAAGGGCAAAAAGGAAATCAGCTTTTCTGAGGTGCAGCAGAGGACACATGCTTCAGAGAGAAGTAATCTGTCAGCTCCTGGAGCTAGTGGGAGGCTGTGGGTTCATCATAATTTCCTAAGTGGTGATTTGGTGAGCAGGGAAAGATGAGGGTTTATTTATTGTTTATTTATTTATTATTGAGCTTTACCTTGCTGCTTCTTGCACCACTCTTGAATAATAAATTGATGCCACAAGAGCACTTTGGACTCACAACCTGAGAATTAAACCCTTCTTCTACCAGTCAAGGTTTCTTTCCCTTCACTAATCAGTTTCCATCTCTCTCTCTCTTTTTTTTTTTTTTTTTTTTTTTAATGCCTCTGTGCATTCTCATGATCCCAGGAAAACAACCCTTCCTGGGTGACTCCCTTCCAGGCTTCCAGGCACAGTCTGGGATCTTCTGAATTGCAGCCTCACTGTGTGTCTTCGTTTTGCAATCCAGTTTAAGTACTTGAGGTTCTGCTCACAGTGGAACATCACGTCCCAGAATAACATCCAGAGATGCAGTGATGCTTGGAATAAATGCAATGGGGCATGAGAGGGAATGTTGCTGAATGTGAGCAGATCCATGAACTGAAACAAGTCCTCTTCCTGGAAAAGGGGACAGAGGAAACAAAAGGCACATGTCAGGAATTTAAAATAATCAGATTTGTGTAAAGAATGAGACTGAAAAAAAGAAAACCATAGGGGAAAGAGCAGATATTTGGGAGATAAACAAGGACTGTTTTTTCAACCCCTGTTCATTTCAGGGAATGAGCACTTTCTGCTTGAGATGTGACTTTCTCTGGAGGGACCTCAAAGCTGAGGAAATTTCACCAAACCAAACACGTCAGACCCATTTTAACTTCTGCATGGATTCAGGATGTGCGGCCACCTCAGCCCTGCCTCTCCCTGCAGATAAGGACACGAGGAGAAACATGACCCAGGACCAATAATCCATGTGTTTCCCTTCCCATCACCAGCCCCAGCAGCACTTTGCAACTCCAATTTCCCCACTTTGCATTTTGATTTCCAGCAACCCAAGGGTTGGATGTCTCTGAGACTGGCTGGAGGGTGGGAGCTTGCCCCTGTACCAAAATTTCTCCTGAAAGGCAAAGGCAAGGGCACGTTTTAAAGTAGCAACAGACCCACTGCATTCTATCTCCAAGGAACATCTGCATCCAGGGCACTTGCCCAGGGCTTGCTTCTTGGCAGTAGGACATGCAGGGACCACTCCCAGATGGCTGATGGATGAGCAGGACACCCCGGTGCCAGGAGGCAGCATCCTGATGCAGACAGACCCAGGCACAGGGCATCCTGGCTGCCTGTGTCCTTGTCAGGGCAGACTCAGGGTACTCCAGGGCCACCGTGTGCAGCCCAGGGAGCAGAGCCCAGCCGGTGCCACTGGGGAGAGCCAGGCTCCGGCTGCCAGGTGTTGTCCTGGGGCTGCAGATGATCCAGTTTCCTGCCGCCACACGATCCCTATAACTGCCGGGTCCCTGGGTGGGCTGATGCTCCACAGCATCAGCAATGCTGGCACATTCCCTTCAGGAGGACTTGTTACCACTCACCAGGGCAGGGACATGCATGTGCCAGGGCAGGGCTGAAGGGTGTCCTCCTCCAGCCACTTTGGCTCCTCTCCCAGCTGCCTCTGCCCTGCAAGTACCCACATCCCTTCCTGTGACAGCAACCCCCATGCTGTGCCTGCACCCACCACCCTGGCCCATTTCACCACCTCCAGCTGCAAGTTGGTCTCTCTCCAGGGCTGCACCCAAACCCACGCCTTTTCCCTAGGAAATCTCCCACATACCCCTTGCAAGGCACCTGGCTGTCCAGGCAAGGACATCCCTCTTTCCCCAGGGTGGCAGAGCTAGCCAAGCACCACAGCATCTCACAGCAGCAGAACAGGAGCTGGTGTTTCCCTGCTGCCTGATCCTGGTTTCTGGCTTGAGAGAAGCTGACAGAGGGGAAGCAGCTCCCTGCTGGTCTCCACATCTCCCCAAGGCATGGAAAGGAAATGTCGTCACAGCAAAGGTCAAAAAAGGATGCTCAGCTAAGCCTGAGCATCCTCACCTTACCTTGAAGCCATGGCATTGCTTGGCCACATCATCAGTGGAAAGGAGTAGGGAGTAGGGAAGGCACTGGCAAGGCTGGCACAGTGTGTTTCCCCAGGTGCACTGAAGCACAGACACGCTCTGTCAAATGCAGGGCTTCCTTCTCTGCAAGGGATCCCAGAGGTGGTTTTACTTCTTTCCTCTTCATCTTGCCATAGCTCACCTTCTTCTCTCTCCAGGAATCTACACCGTGAGCACTGCTGCAGACACAGGAGGGAGCTACCAACACGTGGCAGCTACACCATCCTCAGAACAAGCACCTCTGGGACATGGCAATGGCTCAGCAAGACATCTAGGATGGCTTTTGGCTCCCATTGGCACGATGGGGATGCCAGGTCCTAACCTTCCCTGCCCACAGTTTGGTGCTTTGCCTCCTGGAGAAAAGGTGGTGGGATGGCAGGTGGGCTCAGGGAATGGAGTGGGATGGGGGCTGCACCAGAGCACAGCCCCTTGCATAGGAGGGCAACGCTGGTCCCTGAGCAACCAGGAGCAGGTTCACCCTGTGGGAGCAGCAATCCAGAGGCAGATGTGATGTGTACTTAACACGGCAGAGCAAAACACAGAGAGCAGGAGGATACCGGGCAGTGCATAAAAAGCTTTCCTTTGGATAGAAGGGGGTCCAGAGAAACACGACGAGGGTGGGATTCGAACCCACGCGTGCAGAGCACAATGGATTAGCAGTCCATCGCCTTAACCACTCGGCCACCTCGTCCCCTGTGTTGGTCTTTTTTGGCAGCTTTTTTTTTTCTTTTTTTTGACTGCAGACTGCAAAACTGGGGCTGGCCCTTCAGGGTGTCCTCTGGTGAGCCAGGCTAGGCAGGAGGAGCCCTGGCAGCCCCTGTCACAGCAGGACAGGGAGGCAAGCAGGCATTTGTGACCTATTTGCCTCTCTCCATGTTCCCCCTGTGTTCAGACAATGGCAAAGGGCAACATGGCATTTATTTTTGCCATAAAAGTGTGTGCACCAGTCCTCTCCATCACTCACCCACACCCAGCCTCTGTCCAGATGCTTTTCCTACATGATTCAGCACCAGTCGTGCAAAGAAACAGGGAAGGTGGTGAGGGTTCAGGCAGAATCTTTTATTTCCTGAACTGCCTGGATTCTGGAGGCAGTTTGAGCTATCTCTCCACTGTGAGCTTCTAAGGGAGAGGAAGCAGAAGGAAACTTCTTACCCCCGGAGTGAGGTCACCTGGGACAAAGGGGTGGGGATCGCTACTGCTCAGGGCAGGGCAAAGACCCCCAGAGTGCCCCCAGTTTGGAACAGGGAGGAAAAATAGCCACCCAGGCCCAGGCACCACTGGGAGTCGAACCCAGGATCTCCTGTTTACTAGACAGGCGCTTTGACCAGCTGAGCCATGGTGCCCATGTGCCTGTCATTGGGTGTCCCTAAAAACACCTGACCCTCTGCCCACGCCCCCTTACCCCATGACCCAGACTGCAGTCCCAGGTTTGGGGTTACCCCAGCTGCAAACTCACATCTGTCTGCTCCTGGGAGCACCCCCAGTGCTGATCAAGCCCCTGGCACAGGGAACCCAACACATACAGTAAACAATGCCAGCTGGGTTTGGGGGTCCCAGGCCCTACAGGGACATGCTGCCCCCTCCCCTTGCCCCAGCAGAGCCGTGCCAGCTCCCCTTGCACTCCCTGAGCTGATTGCCTCAGTCTCGTCTCTCTCTCTGGAGGCTCACTCCAGCATCCTGGGTGTCCTCAGTGCGTTGCCCTGGTTCTGGGTTCAAATCCTGTACGAGCCCTCCTTGTTGCTCCTATTGCCCTCCTCCCACCCAGCTCGTCCCCTCAGCACCGATGCTCATCCCAAGGGACACTCTCTAGGAAGGGACACGAGGGCAGGACAGGGAGGGAAATGGCCACGGGCATTTCTTCGCTGCCTGCCTTGGGGGGCCAGCAGGCAATCCCAGGCCGGCCGTGCCCACAGGCAGCCCCAGGATTGTTCTGGGCGTTCCGGTGGCAGTCCCGCAGCCAGCAGGGAGGGGTCCCTGGGGAGGCAAAAGGACATGGAGATGCTGGGGGTCGATCCCAGGGCTTCTTCATGCAAAGCAAGCGCTCTCCCGCTGAGCTACATCCCCCTGGCACGGGCTCTGCCGCGGCGTTGTCCCCAGTCCGAGCAAATGCTGTGTCAGCTGCCTTCCCCAGCTCCCCAGGCTGGGGAAAGGCGGTTCAGGGCTTGGCAGGCTCTGGGTGTCCCTGAGGTGGCAGCGGGCTGTGGGGGGAGTGAGAAGAGGGGGAAGGGTTGTCAAGTATCCCCGGGTGCGGTTTTGTGGCTGGAGCCCCCGGGCAGAGGTGGTCGGTGGGTCTGCGATGGCACCTAATTCTCCTGGAGTGTCCCATGAGTCAGGGTCGGTTGCGGGCGGTGGTGTGGGTAAAAGAAGGGCTCGTCCGGGATTTGAACCCGGGACCTCTCGCACCCTAAGCGAGAATCATACCCCTAGACCAACGAGCCGGGGTGCGCAGGTGTTTTTGGCCCCCTCCGTCTGTGTGGGGAGGCCGCGGCCACGTTCCCGCTCGCCAGGACAACGGAGCACACCGGGGACAGCGGGGGTGGCTGGGCCGGGGGCCACATGTCCCGCACGCGGTTGGGGCTGGGGCTGTGATGGGGTGAAGGCGTTGGACTCGAAATCCAATAGGGATTCCCTGTGCAGCTTCCTATCCTGCTCCCAGCGACAGGTTTTAGCCAACTCCTCCCCACCAGCCCTGAGGGTCCTGGGAGAGTCACTGGCAGCCGGGGCATCCCCGGCCCTCCTCCTTCTCCTCCTCGTCCTCGTCCTCGTCCTCCCTGGGGAGCAGCTGAAGAACCGGCGGCAGGGATGGCGATGGCCGCGGGGGCAGAAGTGGGGCAAAGGCACAGGTGGTGGTGTGCGGGTTTTGCAGAGGCGGGTGAGGTGAGAGAAAAGCTGGTGAGGGGAGTGGGGTGGTGAGGGGCAAGATTGTGTGGGTTTGTTGCGTGGATTCCCCGCAGTGGCGTGTCCCCCATCCCTGCGGAAGCAATGTAGGGCGTCTGGCAGGCGGGGGCCGGCGGTCGGGCAAAAGAGAGGGGCTCGTCCGGGATTTGAACCCGGGACCTCTCGCACCCAAAGCGAGAATCATACCCCTAGACCAACGAGCCGGGGTGCAGCCGTCGCCCTTTGGGCAGCCCGGGACTTTCGGGGGCTCGGGGGCAGGCGGGGCTGTGCGCGGCCGTGGCTCTGCGGGAGCAGGGGGGTCCCCCTTGCTGGGGCCGCCCTCTGAAGCAGCAGCCGGAGGTGGGCGCGAGGCGTCAGCGCCTACATGTCCCCCCAGCAGCGGCGGGGGCGGCGCTTCCTCCCCCAAAGCCCCTCGGCGGGCCTGGCGGCGGATGGAGCGGGCGGGGCTTGGCAGCAGCATCGGCCGCTCTTGGGCCCGGGCCGTCTCGCCGAGCTCGTGGGCCGCGGCAGCTGCGTTTGTGCTGGCTGGCAGCAGAGGCCCGTGTGTGTTTGTCAGGGGCCCGTCCGTGCGCGGGCCGTGGTGTCCGGGCCTGGCGTGGTGCGGGGTGGTGTGCGAGGGCGCTGACGGGGAGCGCGCTGAGCATTGTTGGGCAGGGCGATTTGCGGGCGCGTGTGAGGGCTGGCGAGTGTGGCGAGCGTTGCGGGGCCGTGTGTGGGTGCAGGCGGTGTGGAGTCGGGCGTGACGCGCGTCCCGCCGTGCTCGCAGCGCCCTTTTCCTGGGAAGCATCCGGGGTGTGGGCCCAGAGCGGGGGGGCGGGGCCGGGCGCGCACCCCGGCTCGTTGGTCTAGGGGTATGATTCTCGCTTAGGGTGCGAGAGGTCCCGGGTTCAAATCCCGGACGAGCCCTTTTTTTGGCTCCCACCGCTCTGGTCTCCCCAGCACGGATGTTCATCCCAAGGGATACCCCGACCCCTCTAGGAAGGGACACGAGGGCAGGACAGGGAGGGAAATGGCCACGGGCATTTCTTCGCTGCCTGCCTTGGGGGGCCAGCAGGCAATCCCAGGCCGGCCGTGCCCACAGGCAGCCCCAGGATTGTTCTGGGCGTTCCGGTGGCAGTCCCGCAGCCAGCAGGGAGGGGTCCCTGGGGAGGCAAAAGGACATGGAGATGCTGGGGGTCGATCCCAGGGCTTCTTCATGCAAAGCAAGCGCTCTCCCGCTGAGCTACATCCCCCTGGCACGGGCTCTGCCGCGGCGTTGTCCCCAGTCCGAGCAAATGCTGTGTCAGCTGCCTTCCCCAGCTCCCCAGGCTGGGGAAAGGCGGTTCAGGGCTTGGCAGGCTCTGGGTGTCCCTGAGGTGGCAGCGGGCTGTGGGGGGAGTGAGAAGAGGGGGAAGGGTTGTCAAGTATCCCCGGGTGCGGTTTTGTGGCTGGAGCCCCCGGGCAGAGGTGGTCGGTGGGTCTGCGATGGCACCTAATTCTCCTGGAGTGTCCCATGAGTCAGGGTCGGTTGCGGGCGGTGGTGTGGGTAAAAGAAGGGCTCGTCCGGGATTTGAACCCGGGACCTCTCGCACCCTAAGCGAGAATCATACCCCTAGACCAACGAGCCGGGGTGCGCAGGTGTTTTTGGCCCCCTCCGTCTGTGTGGGGAGGCCGCGGCCACGTCCCCGCTCGCCAGGACAACGGAGCACACCGGGGACAGCGGGGGTGGCTGGGCCGGGGGCCGCGTCCCCCCCCAACCCCACTCCTCTCACCCCGCCCCGGGGAAGTGAGGCTGTGATGGCCGAGTGGTGAAGGCGTTGGACTCGAAATCTAATAGGGATTCCCTGCGCAGGGTCGAATCCTGCTCACAGCGACAGGTTTTACCCGGTGCCCACACTGGGAGTCCCGGGGGTTCTGCCAAGAGCTCTCCCTTTGCTAGAAGTGATGATGCTCCTGTTGCGGTCCCTGTCCCATCCGGTAGTCGCATCATGTTGCTGAATTCAGCAGATCTTTTTCTTCATGTGGCATCACCTTCTTGTCACAATTAAGTGGTGCGAGTAAGTCATTAGTGCTGTTGGCTGGCCCTGGTGCTCACGCAAAGCCCTTGTGCCTGGAGCCGCTCCAGGCAGAGCAAGGCCAGTACCATGGTGTTTATCCAAGCCCCTTTCTGTCCCCTGGCCACAGATCAATGCAGTTAATGAGAAACCCCAGCTTGGGAAAGAGGCTGCACGTTGGGTGCTTAGAGGCTTTTGCTCTGCAGTGGGACAGGAAAGGGCAGGAAACCCACAGGGTGTGAAGAGCTGAGCCGGGTGCTGCAGGGTGCAGGCAGATCCTGAGACCATGGCAAAACTGGTGGAGTGTGTCCCCAACTTCTCGGAGGGGAATAACAAAGAGGTGAGGGAGTGAGTGGAAGCGCTGAGGGGTGGGTGTTGCTGGGGTGCTGATGACTGCGTTTTCCCTCCACAGAGCAGTACCCACCACCAGACTCTGCTGTGCCTCCTTTGAAGTGCTGTGCACCTTTCACTGCCTAGCTAGTGCCAAAAATGCCTAAATGCAACCTTCACTTCCTTTTGGCACCTCAATGAGAAGTGGGGGCTCAGACCTCCCTCCGCTGCCTGCTGGTTGCTGTTGCACCAGGTTTCGGGGTAGTCTGGGACACCCCCATAGAGAAATATTGCTTGCAGTTGTTATGCCAAAGGATGCTGTCCAGGTTAATGGAATCTGTCCTGGGCATTTGCCCCCGGCTGTACTTTGACCCTGCCAGGGGCAGGGGAGTTCAGCAAACCCAAAAAGGCTGTAAAAACACAGCTTCCCCCAGGGAACAGGCTTCGCAGAGCCAAATCTTTTTGGAAGCTGGCCGGAGACTGTATCCTCAGGAACAGAGATTTGTGATGCTGTTCTCTGACACGCAGCAGCAGTCAGGTGTCTCTCCCCCACCACAGCAAGTTTGCAGCTCACTGGGAGCCAGGGGTACCCCAAACCCCCTGGGTGGGATGCTCGCTCATGCTTTTGGATTCTGCACCCTCTGCAGCACACGGCTGATGGTCCCCACTGATCCTCCTCAAACCATGCACCAGTGGGAAGGGGGAGAGCTGAGAAGAGATGTCCCCTCCCTTGGAAAGCTGCGGCTGTGGTGGGGACCCAGCCAGCTCAGACACTGTCCGGCAGGTGATCGATGCACTGGGACAGGCCATCTCCCGGACACCGGGCTGTGTGCTGCTGGACGTGGATGCAGGCGCCTCCACCAACCGCACCGTCTACACCTTCGTGGGGTCCCCTGAGGCAGTCGTGGAAGGGGCGCTGAGCGCGGCCCGAGTGGCTGGGCAGCTTATTGACATGAGCCGACACACGGGTGAGCTTGGGAACAGCGCAGGAGCTGCTCTGGCACGGAGCATCCCAGCTGCTGGTGACCATGCATGGCACATTGCCCCACCCTCAGTAAGAAGTGCTGCTGGGATAGATGGTG